TATATATATATATATATATACGTAAATTAAAAAGTCCTTCCGAAGCGGGCGACGGGATTTCGATTCCGACGACCGACAGCTTCTTACGGGCGACCCCCAAACATTTAAAAACTCTCTTTTCCCCCTTTTAAGCGCCGACAATATATTTCCCCTTTTCTATTTCAGAGTCATCTTAAGTGAACGTGACCATGGAGTTACTTTTGTCTCTCTCTCGGACATCACGAAGTAAGGACTGTCATGATAGTAGTAGACTATGTTTCCAAATTGACACATTTTATATCTTTTCTCTTCCTTGGACAACTTAAGTGAACGTGAGCATGGTCTTAGTTCTGTCTTTCCCTCGGACGTAATGAAGTAAGGACTGTCATGATGGTAGTAGATTATATTTCCAAATTGAAATATTTTATATCTTCTCACAAGATGATAAAAGCTTCACACATTGCTAGTTTTTGCATTTGGAAGAAAGTTTATCTTCATGGTGTATCGAATGTTATTACTTCATATAGGAATGCAAAATGAGTATAAGTCCAAAATAGTCCCAAGACAATTAAGATGTATCCAATTTACTCTCAGAGTTGTAGAATGCTTTAATTTAGTCTCAGATTATTAAAACATGCTCCAAATTGGTCATAAATCATATTTTTCATTGAATTTAATGGTAGACTGCATGGATTGAATGGTGTTTTCGTCTTTTATTTAATTATTAAAAAATTATGTGATTTGTATATAAATCTCTTTTGTTATTTGTTGTTGAAAGCTTATAATTTATAATTTGCATTAATAAATCTTATCACAAGTTTTCATTTTGTTTCAAATGAAAAAAATAAAATTAATCAAGAATTATGCAATAAGAGCTCACTCAATCTGAAATTATATAAATTACAAGATTTCAATTGAATTTTCAATTTTTATATTTTTATTAGAGAATGTGTTTTAAGCTAAAATTAACTTGAAAATCTAATGAATAAATTTATTTAACGTTTAAAATATTATTTATGCGAATGAAAAAATTATGTGATTGATTGAATTGCCCTTGGTGAGTTTAATTCGCGAGTTTTGTAAATAAACAAAATTACCCTTCAAAATGTGAAAGAAATTTGGTTTATGACTAATTTGGAGCACCTTTTAATAATTTGAGTCTAAATTGGAACATTTTAAAACTCGAGGACTAAAATTGGAGATTTCTTAATAGTCGGGGGACTAATTTGAGCTTTTTCTCAAAGCAAATTATTTTAGCTACTTTTCGAGGTTCTTATAGGTGAAAGTGGGGTACGAAGCTTTAATTCAGCTCTATAAATCAACCACAAATATATGAACACATGGTGGTGGTGAATTAGAGCTCGGTAAATCTCTTTAGGTATTTGGTGAGCAAAAATATTAGGTGGTTGGGTTGGACTTGATTCAATCTCAAGTTGAGTTTTCTTATTGAAGAAAGTTGGAGAAACAATATTCTCTTATTTCTTAATAATCAAATTACAACTCTTCTTTTTGTATAATAAGGAACGACTAGGACAAACTTAATTACAATCATTACAACTTAGCAAATATAAACTAACTCACGAAGGAAAGAAATATGACATGATAAAAGAGAATAATACTCATACTTAGAAAAGGTTTTCTAGCTAGTCCATTGGTCACAACCCCTTTGAGATTGTCTGTGGTCTTTGGAGTTCGTGCTTGTACTTCCAGCCACCGAGCTTAGTATTGGCACCAGGACCAATGTTAGGGAGATTCAAATGTTTAATGAGCAGGTGAGATGAAAATTTCCAAGCAAAATTGTTAGTGATTTGATTGAAAGAGATGTTTCTTCCAGCGTCATTTTTGAAGCTCGGTTATAGAGATTTTGGTCCCTTGGGATTTTTAAGAATGTTAATGATAATGCATATAAGATTAATCTTATGATTTAATTAAAATATTTCTGTCACCTTCAATATTAGTAATTTGATGTTGTTTTATGAGGATCGAGATGTTCTTAATGATGGAGGCGAAACTCCTATCCAAGGAGAATGACTCTTGTAGGACTTCTATTTTGTATCCTAGATAGAGAAACTACTGGAGGACCGACCTAGTTCTGGAGTTTCCCACCCACAATTGTAGGTTTACGTTTAGGGTCTCTGTTTTTGCGTCGTTTAAAATAGACTTATCGTTTTTTTTTGTCTTGGTATACATACAACTTGAGAGCTAGTCAAGGAATGAACGCCAATGGGACCACCAACGGGCTTACTCCAAACTTCAGAAGATTCACAGGATTTAAACATATTAGGAAGGAAAGCATTGCGTTTTATTCACATGATTCACTGAATATATACATACATATTGTTTAAATCCTAGTTAAGGAGTTTTGACTTGTTTTATAATATTGGGGATAAGTTTCTCTTGTTTTTCTTCGCTTGGGAGGGATGTTTTTTGGTCGCTATTGAGGAAGAGCAACAGTGCGCTTCTTTTCACCTTCTGTAAATTACTCATGGTGGTGAAGATGCAGGAGATTTCATGTAGGGATCAATGTTTCTGGCAGCAGAAATGTTTGTGTGATTTATGAGGGTTAGTAGATAGGGTTTCAGGTAAGTGTTTGAGGTTCCAGGAGGTCGTTGAGCAAGTTTCTCAGAAGATAACGGTCGGGGTTTTGCTATTTTGGGTCCGTGGTCAGCTCTTTCTAAAGGTTTGAGCCATTACAATCAGGTCCACCCAAACTTTGACAAAATCCTAATATTTTTTTTTATTAAATTCTCTGATAAAAATATATATGATAAAAGTTTGCTCCTAAAGTTTGCGTAAACATTTGTGCTCTCTCATTTGAAATCCCAGTTTCACTGTTGGATGCATGCACATGATTTGACTTGGGAAAATTACTTCGGAGTCCAAATTAGTATCGAAGCTTGTGTTTAAAAACAATTTAGCAACTTTTTCAATACTCGATTTCTGTTCTCTTTAGAAAATTGTTCAGAATAATTATATCTCCGATTTGATATTTTCATAAGGATCTGTCTTTTGTGAGTGCAGGTTGTCTTTTTCGCTGAAAGGGACATTAACCCTGGGGAGGAGATTACTTACGACTACCATTTCAACAGGGAGGATGAAGGGAAGAAAATACCTTGTTTCTGCAATTCCAAAAATTGTCGTAGGTATCTAAACTAGGAGGGTTTCTTTTGGAACTCAGAATATTGTTAGGCTGATAGGTTCACTCTTTTTTTGAGAGTTTTATCAGTTTAATTTTAATGGGCGTTTCCTGTTGAATTTTTCACAATACCCGGTAAGCTTCTTGTAGAATATTATTGCAACATTAATTATGTTGTGGTGATGAGGTTTATTTACCCTTTTCCCTGCTTTTGTTTCGTTTAGTTTTTATTTGTAATCCATTAATTTTCATACACTTGAGGGGGTCAACCTGCTGAAATCATATCTGTCCACCATTATTGGCTTTGAAAATTTCCATCAGCACTAAAAATTTTAGAGTGATTTCGGGTTTAGTCTTAAGAAATCAAATTTAGTTTTAAGATAAGACATTCACCAAAGATTTCACTCCCTTTCAAGCATCATATGCTCTGATTCAAATTTCTTATAAATGCAATGTTTTATGATTGATTAATTTTTTGGATCATGATAGAATTCTTTATGTCGGTCAATCTGCAGGCTTTATGTTGCCTGTTTTATTAGCAACAAATCAAGTTAGGGAGAAAGTATATTGCTATTAGCTGATAGAGGATGATGGGTGAATGATAAATTCTGAGACAAATTTTATTTCTTGTCCTAGGCTGTCATGTACCTCTAGTCTATATAGTGAGCGAAGGTTTTTAATTCAATCTTGATCATAACAAGGAATAATTTTATTTAAACTTGTCATAGAAAATAAAGATGATAATGAGAGGAACAACTACCCGGCCATGTCTACCCCTCATATTTAGAACATGTGGCTGCATTTTCTGAGTTAAATTAAAGTGGTATTTCTGTTCTTATGTTCAATTTTTTATGATTGTGTACATTTTTAAAAGCTTAGTTAATTATTCCATCTCTATACAACAATAAAATTAACTTCAGCCAAGCCATACAAATTTTGTTTTTTTTTAATGATTTTTGATCTCTTTTGCAGTTGCTTATGTGCTTGATCTCTTTTTCACTCTCTTTCAAGGACTATATGATGCGGTTCAAAGTATTTTATAGGTGCAATTCCTTGTGATTAATTATCATTTCAATCATGAGAGATTTTTTTTTTTAATTTGCTATAAGATCTAACATGCTTGCTTTTGTAGAAGCAATTTAAACTAGGGTAAAAAAGTTTGGTGCTATTGGTTCAAAGAGGATGGTGTGTTGTGGGAGATATCTGATTAAAACAAAGAAATCAATTCGAGAGATCCGACACAAAACTTTGAATAGAAGCGCACAAGCACATAAAAAAATATGAAGATTTAATATGGAAAAACGTGATAATGGGAAAAAAATTATAGAGCTACATTACACCAAAAAATTCACTATAAAGAAATGAGGAGAATTGTACAATTATACCGTGCTCAAACCTTTCTAATTCCTAGAACACTTAAAGAATTATCTCCCTTCTCTATTGCACAAGAGAAAATAGAAATCCGACACCATGCTCTAGGTCGCATGTTCATATATATTGTCATAACGATCATCTGTCTTCTCACAACAAAACCAAAATGTAAACATGAAACTGAAGAAATTTTCTTCCCATAGCGAAATCGAAATGTAACCACCAAACTGCAAAAATTTGGTTATAGGTGCCTAGGCGCTGAGTTTTGAAGCGGATTGTTGATTTCTCTGTTTAGGAAACTAGAAAAAAACGTATATGGGTATGAAGGCGCCACTCTTGGGTGCTAGATTGTCAAGGCTCTATCTCAAGGCCTAAAATGGGCGTTGCAGTGCTCCCACTAACACTGGGGTGCTGCTGCCAAGCGCTGGGGTGACGCTTTGGGCGCAAGGTCGCTCAAATAACCCTATAGATATCACAAAATAAGAATCTCCTATTTTGAGATTGATTGCAATCAATTCAACTCCTTTAGGTCTGTACCATATTCATGTAATATAGTGTAATGTAGCTCAACTTCCGTCTCAGCCTTCCTAAACTCCAACTGAAATTAAACATAGTTTTAGTTTCTCAACAGTAACAATCTTAGTCAACATACTGTAGGATTTTAAATTGTGACCATCTTCTATGAGTGAACAAATGAAATGATTTCTTAGCTGAATGTGTTTCATCCTAGCATGAAATGTGACATTCTTTGTTAGATGAAGATCACTCATACTATCACCATAAAGCCTTTCATTCCCTTGCTCTTTGCGCAATTCTGTCATAATGCTCTGTAGCCAAATTATTCATTGCTAGTTTTAATGATAACAATATAATCAGCTTCTGTGGTTGATAGTGCAACAATCTTCTGTAACTTGAAAATCGCGTTCTCCAAATAAATACATAACTTGTTATACTCGAATCATTAATATCTCCTGTCATATCTGAATCTATACATCCTTATAGAACAATCCCTGCACTTCCAAAATAAAGTGTTTTATATATTGTTCCTCTCAAGCATCTAAGAATCCACTTCATTGTCTCTCAATGGTATTTGCTTGGATTACTCATGTATTAGTTGACCAATCCCACTGCATGTGCAATTTCTGACTCTGTACATATCATTTGCATTCATCAAACTTTCAACTGTTGAAGCATATAGAGTTTTTCTCATCGATGTTTGCTCTGTGCCAGACTTAGGCGATTGTCTTTTAGATAGCTTAAAGTGCCTATCTAAGGGATTGCAAATTGATTTCATCATTCATGTAGAACTTAGGACCTTCTCAACATAATCTGCCCGAGACAACTTCAATATACCTGAACTCCTATCCCTATTGATTTTCATGTCAAGAATTTTCTTGGTTGGACTTAAATCCATCATTTCAAACTCTTTTGATTATTGATTCTTTTAGTCCCTGATCTTCTTCATATTTGAACCTACGATTGGTATGTCATCAACTTATAAAAGAAGCACAATATAATGATTATCAAATTATTTAAAGAAACAATAATTATTTATTTGACACTTACCCGCTGTTTGACATAAACTTTTCAAACTTCTTGTACCACTGCTTTGGTGGCAGTTTCAACTCATAAAAACTCCTCTTCAGTTAGTAAACCATAAATTCTTTTCCTAAAACTTTGTATCCCTGCGGTTGCACAGTGTACGGTTCTTCTAAGTCACCATTTAAGAAAGTTATTTTTACATGCATTTGCTCCAAATCCAGATCTTCATGTTATTGTTATTAAGCTCTACTCAACTTTGATAGTTTTCATTTTCACAACAGAAGAAAATGTATGTGTATTAACTTCTTCGTTTTATTGAAATCCCTTCACAACAAGTCTCGCCTTATAGTGCTTGCTACTATTTGACTCTTTTTTTCAATATGTAGACCTACTTTTTGTGTAGTGCCTTTTTGCCATATGAAAAATCTGTTAATTTTCATGTTTGATTTGATATTAGTGATTGTATCTAGTCATCCGTGGCAAACTCTCACTAATTGTAAATACAAAGATGGAGAATACCTTTGTGTCCATTATTTGATTATAATGGATCTTTTGATTTCAGTAGCATGTGTCTTAGAGTAGCTATGTGCTTCATTAGATTGATCATGTTTCATTTCTCTATTTTCTTGATCACCGGTGTCTTCTATCTCAACTTATTTAGAGGGATCTTTAGAAGTAGTTAATGGGTAATGTCAAGCTTTGTTATGTCCTTGTACATCTCCATTTCATTGAAAGTAACATCCTTGCTTCTAATGAACTTTTTATTATTTTAGTCCCAAAATTTTTAATAACCAAATTTATCTCAGTTATACTCAATGAAATTACACTTGACAAATTTTGGATCTAGCTTACTATTGGATCAAGCATAAATATGAACATATGATAAACAACCAAATACTTTCATGTGAGATAGATTTATCTCTTTACCACTAAGTTTTTTCAAGCAAGTCTTTATTCAAAGGTACTAATGGACTATAATTAATAAGATAAATAATTATGTTCACTGTTTCTGCTTAGAACTATTCTGACAAGCGCATGCAATCTTATACTTTGGCACAGTCTGTAATGGTTCTATTCATGTGCTATATAATATCATTTTGATGTGGTGTCCTTGGAACAGTGAGCCCATGCTTGATCCCTCTTGAAGCACTATAACTCGTGACTCTCTGATCATGGTACTCGTCATTATATGATCTGAGACATTTCATCCTCAAACTTATCTTATTCTCAACCGTCGTTTTTCGTTTCTTACACATCAAATATATTAGATCTATGTTTCATGAAATACATTCATTCCTTCCTTGTGTAATCATCAATGAAAGTGATGAAATATAGAGAATCTTCAATAGATTGAACTAGAGTAGGACAAATAGATCAGTATGCACTAACTAAAATTTTTTTGGACTTAACATTCAACCCACTTTTAGGAAAATAACATTCTTTTGCTTGTCAAAGAGTCTTTACTAAATCTAAATCTATATGGACTTTACACCATGAAGTTCATTTTTAAAAGGGGGGACTTCATACCATTCTCACTCGCATGGCCAAGCCCGCGGTGCCATAAACTTACATCACCTTTCGTTCCAACAAAACCAATAGATTCATACATCTCATTGATCAAATAGAAGGTGCCTTCAATGTTGTCTCGAGCCATTATCATTACTCATTTGATCATCTTCCACGAATCACCTGTAAACAGTCACATTTTCTATCTTGCAAGCTGACTCACAGAAATCAAATTTCTTTCTAAACACAGAACATGTTCTAACTTCATTCACTTTTCAGACTAATCAATTTGACAATCTGATATCAACATCAACCTTTCTAAAAACATTGCAAGCTTTATTGTCTCCCAAATACAAATTTCCAGGATCACTTTGAGTGTAATAGTAGTTTTCTTATCTACAATATTGAATGAAACAAATGAGAAACGTGAAAGTTAGATCAAACTTCAAGTTTGATCAAGAACTTCCCATTCTTTAGTCTTCAATTATAGCTTCTCAGTAATTCTATCAATGACATATATAGTTTCTTTTTATACAACAAATCTTTAATTTGCATTTTCCATAAAAAAGTTTGAATCACTGAACTTCTCAGTTTTGAATCTCATTTTGTTGGTCATTACTCCCAGTCGAACCATAGATCCCCAGGAAACTC